CTGTTTGTGTACCAAAGAGGAAAAGACCAAAGTGCGTACCCCAAGCAAAAGAGAGAACATCTGCTAGCAGAGAAACTAGCCCGCGATGCCGTGTAAACACTGGAAAAGACGAGAGACGAAGACGCCTGAAAAAGCCAAAACTCCCCAACTGCCAAGCTCAAAGAACTGATGAGTGAGAAAGGGGAAACCGCCTTCCAAACAGAACGCGGACGATGAAAGGCTGTCCGGGGTAAGTAATGCTAGATCTCCATGCTCATAAACAGCCACAGGTTGCTCGTCACGTCCACATCTCTCGCCCACCGATCCAGCGTAGTCAACTCGAAGCCGATCCACTGCAGGCTCTTCATCAGCGACTTTGCATCCTCCTCCTCAATGGTCCGGTCGATGCAGACGACCAGGTGTTGGCAGTTGAGCGGTCCATCGACCAGCTCCATCAGCGCCATAAGTCTGGAAGGAATGTTAGCCAAGGGTTCTTCGTGTAACGGGGTCTAAGACAGATAGGGGGTGTGTGTAACATACGCAGGCTTCAGGTCACGTCCAATGACATTCCTGTCAAACAGGGCGAACAGGGACTTTTCAGCCCCGTCGTCCGCCACAAAGGCCCTGAAACTCGCGCCGCCGGCAAAGTCCCAAACCTCCAACCACGCGGTGGCCGGGGCCGGTGCGGTAGGAGCCGTGAAGCCCTCAGCACCGTCCCCGCCGCGTCCCCCGAACGGGACGTGCGGTTGAACGGCCAAGTCCTCGTCTGGCGGCGGAGTGGGCAGCATGTTGTTGGCGTTGCTGCTGCCGTTGTTGTAGTAATAAGCACCTTGATGCAGGCCGGAGCCACGCGAGCCAGTGTCCGTCTCACCGCGGAACACAGCCCTCATGGACTCACAAAAGAACCTTTCACATTCTTCCCTGATCGAAAGTGCTGCCCCCCCTCTGCGGCTAATCCTCTTGCCGGGCACGGTATCGCGCCTCTTGGAGCTGCTGCTGCTGGCCTTGGGAAGCAGAGCGAGCTCGTTGGATGCCGTTATGGCCGCGAGGGGGGGACTTGAAGGAGGGGATGGTAGTCCTGAGGAGGGGACCTCAGGAATACCACTCGGCCCCTGTTGATTCCAAGATCTGTCAGTCCATGATCCATGTAGTTTACCAAGTTTCCGGAGATGGGTGATGCAAGTGAGCGGGGATCGTAGGGGATGGGAAGTTTACAAGAGACAACAACCCCGAGTGATCGGCGGCGTATCTACAAGTTTGAGGCTGAAGATGGGCATACATGGGGGAGGCAGGAAGGAGGGAAGAGAGACATGTGCTTGTGCTGCTGTGGAATGGGAAGGATGCGACGTACCTGCGGCGCCGGTAGTGCAGTAGTGGAGACCGCGAAGAGTCGCGGCGGAATCGACGATGTAGCAGCTGGCGAGGACATTGGCCTGACGGACAATGGCCTCACCATAATTACTACTACTGTAATTGTTGACCTGATTCATGGGCGCCATTGCGATTGATTTTCGGGGTTTGGTAGCTAAAGTCTGGTGTTGAGGTAGAATTGGTTTGGGAGGTCGGTTCTCGGGAAATCGGAACCGGTTCGTCGATGAGTTGGTGGTTGGTGTTTGAAAAGTGAGGCGAGAGTCAAGTAGCGACGATGGTAGTCTTTTCTTGGAAAGGTGGTGTGGGTTTTGTTGGTTTAGCTGGTGAGGCTGTTGTCGATTTGTGTAGATCGATTGATTTAGTAGCGCGGGGGCGAGGATTTGCGTTGATGTTTTGTCCTTGTTTTTCTTCTTCTTGAACGGCGGTTGTTGCGGGTGAGGCGAGCAGGATATCGGCGGTGAAGCGTTGCGATGGGGAAGGCAAGAAGAGGGGAATTGGGAAGAGACGGCGGCGGCGGGCGGAGTGGTGAATAAAAACCCAGCGGAAAGGCCATATCTCCCTCCTACAGAAAAAAAATAATAAAGGGTGGAAACGTCTAGCGTGGCGGAGAAAGCAGCCCAGCCAAGGGGACCATCACTTGGGCTGTCCACTGTGCAGCACGCAGCAACCGCCACCCAGCCGTGCCGTGCCACTTTCCAATGGCAGTCTCAAGGGGTGGCAGCCACCAAAAAAAGCGGCCAAGCTCACCGGCCCAGTGGGAAAACCTACATAGTACCTGAGGTACTGCGCATGCGTATGGATACAAGGGAAGGAACAGTCATAATCAGCCAAGGCATCTCCACCTTTCCCCCTTCTTTCCTCGGATCCCATCATCCATCATCCATGTCTCCTCCTCACCATCCAATGCAGTTCAATGCCATTGATTCCGTCCGCGTCAATTCAGACTTTCAATTGCTTGGATCTTACTCAATCGCAATTCTCAGGGACCCTCTACTTTCATCACTTCACATCGGCACTCCATGATCTGTTTGCTTGTTCGCTACGATCATCATCGACAACAGCTGTCTCTTTACGCAGCTTCCAGAGGGTTCCAGTTTGTCCATTGTTCTCACTGGCAAGGGGGCGTCCATGGTCCACGGTCCATTGGGGGGCCACTGGTCTAGGCTTACGAAACCGGCTGGAGCCCTTTGCTTTGCAATGCGCCAACCGTCAATGTTGCACTATATGAGGCGGTATGGGAAGCAAAGCACGTTGTTTCCTGGGCTGCATTGCATTGGCTGATGCTGCTCGGCCATTTGTGGTCCACGATCTATCTTACCTACTCATTGGGTACTGGTTCATTGACGGACTTGAAGCAGATGCATCCTTCTGTCTCCAAACTCCAATAACTGTATGCATCCGAGCCTATCTCGACCGTCTATCCGTACAGACCAGTCAGAGATGCCCCAATTCTACTGTCACCATTAGTCTCCCGTCAGCAATCAACCAACTCGGGTGGACGCTCCCAATCCGGGCCCGGCACGGCGCTTGGCACTTTGACTGCTTCTCCTGCGGCCTCTGCCAATCGAGTGAGGCCGTGAGCTGCACTTCACATGCACGTGGTCAATCCCCCCCAAACCGAGCCCTTGCTGCCGAGCCACCCTAGCCCGACCCAGAACTTGGGGTAATCATCTCTTGGACGGAAACGGTCAACAGATGAGTTTCTCTCTCTGGCGCTCACAGTATCGCAGTGCTTTATCCGTACTCTTGATGGGCTTCCACAAGGATGATCAACGTTGGTAGTGTGGCGTTGGCCCGATAACTGGTTCCCTTTTTGAATCATCAACTTACGAAAGTGAGGTAATATTACGCAAGCAGTTCAAGCACACGGCCGTCGATCGTCGCACATACATACGAATGACAGATAACCGCTGAGAAATGTCGGGGTCCTCCACCATCAGGACAATTAGGGTTTGCGAGAGGCCAGCCTACCGTCACCAAGCTCGAAACTATGGGTGAGCTCACTACGTACACAGTACTGTATTCCAGACGTCCGCCGTGGATAGTCCAAACATTTCATATGACGATGGCGTAAGATGTCGCAGGTTCGCAACCAGCTCGAGCGGATGGATCCCCTTTCAGCCGGAGCCCCGGCACGGTCGGAGGCCGCGTTTTCTCGGCCGTCGCAATTGTGACGGGCGAGCAGGCCACCGGAGCATAAGGTGTCACGGTGGTTGGTCTATGTTCACACATTGCCTTGGGCAATATTGCAGGATGCCATGTCAATGCCTGCCAAAAATGCCGTGGCAGCGCCGCAACTAGCATGCTTGGACTTCCTGGGGTCCGGGTTTCCGTTCGGGTCACTTGACCGTTTTGCCCCCCACATTCATGATTTGCGAGTCATCCACCGCAGCATTCTCCTTCTCGAAAGGAACGAGTGCGTTATGAATACCTTGACGAATATCGACTTCTCTTGGTGGCTTGGATCATTCGTTCGAAGTTGATCTACTAATTTCGTATTAACGACGATTGAGCGTCTACTTGTCATCGAGACTGCTACGGTTTACCTACCTTGATGCTGGGTGCAGTCAAAGGGCTATAGATTTCGCATCTAAATCGGCGCCGGTCTCTGGTAGTCAGCAGCTAACAGCCCGACGGACATCTGACGCTCCCCACTGCTTCCTCACCGAAACCGAGCGAAAGCTGCGCGGCGTTTTGGTCCACAGATAACGATCGGAATGCTTCATCAATGATCTTGGATGCCGTTGCAAGATACTTGTGACGGCCTCGATCCCCGCAAACTCCAAAGTTGCCGAACAATAACCTCTGGAACTCGAAACATCAACTTTGGATTTTCGCTTTTTCTAGAAGCCTCTCCAGCCGTTCAGGTGCTCACCCTCATTCTGGGAGTCTCCAACGACATGAATGACGGTGGGGACCCCTTCTCTTTCCGTCTGCCGCACAACCGTTGGAGGAAGAGGGGTCACACACCCACCCGCTGGTGGGGTCCGAAGTCCAGTGACACACACACACACACATACTGCCGGCGCCAATGGAAACCTCACCACTTGGGAAGACTCCACCCGGCCGCCGTCTCTCGTTCTTATCGATTCACGCTTCCAGTTGCTCAACTTATCGATAATGTTGGGCTGTGATAAGGTATAGGTAGCCAAGTGGGGAAGCTCGAACCTCCTTCGACCGAGGGACTTGACCGTACCTACTTCGTACACCACCGCATCCGAGCGATCCCTCAAGTATTGAATACCTGGTGCTGTGCCCAAGGTAAGTACTGAATAAAGACCGACGCCCGCTGCTCCGATTTTGGCCGCTTGTTGAGCAGATGTTCCCGGAGAGGCGGGTTGGTAACTACCTTGGCACCTTTGCAATGTCTTACTTTACGATATCAAAGTGAAGGCAAAACATCCACAACTCCTCTTCAGCCTTCATGTCTAGCTGAATCAAATGTCAGCAAGCCACATTCTTCCATCTCAAGTCCGGGCAGAGAAAACTAAAGCTCCAAACATCTGCGCATACCTACCTTACCAAAATGGAGGTACCTACACAACCAAAATATGCCCGACGTTTGTGCCCAGACCCTTTTGATATCTTACACTTCCCGTCGTCCACTCACCGCAAAACAGGCGGGATCCACCAGAGACAGTGACAGTGACATGCTGCTTGCCGGAACGGTAGGTGCCATACCTTCCCTTCCCTTGCGTTACCTTACCCTCCAACAACCCGAATCATTCACTCGCTCACAAAAACTGCACGTTACACACCATTTGGACGGTGGCCAGGCCAAAAAAGAAAAGCCCAGCCCGAAAATCCTCTACCCCTCCATCTCACTGTCTCGTGCCATAAGTCAGTCACTCACCTGTTCCCCTCCCTGTCGAACTTGCGCCCCTGCGCCGGGCTCTGATCTACCAAACTACCTACCTTACCTACCCCAAATCGCCTCCGACCCTTCATTCCTGCTTGCCCGCCTTGCCTTATACATGATTCCATGACCTCCCCGGGACCCCGTTCCAGTCGCAAAGGATCCAAACTCGTGAACAAGTCAAGAGAGAGGCGGTAGAAACTCCTGAAACGCTTGCTATCGTCGTCGTTCCTCCCAAAGACAAAGCCATGCTCTCCTCACCCTAAACATCCAGAGAAGACCATCCATCCTCTCCATCGGAACCCTCGCCGGAATACCATGGTAGAACCCTCCACCGCCGGCGCCGCCCAATTCTACAACTCCAACGAGCCGTAATCCACAGCATACAAGCGAAACAAAGAACCTCCGAGGAAACCACATCTTCGGGACCAGGGCTTCCGAGAACGCGGCGCACTACCCACCTTTCTCTTCCCGTCCAAGAAACCCCCCAAGACCCCTCGCGATGGCGCCCAACATCGTCGTCTCCCGTCCCACATTCCCAACGTACCTCCTCCCAAGCTTCAACATCGTCCCCTTCCGCCGCCGCGCCCCGCGCCGGACCTCGTCCGCATCAGAAGCAGCAGCAGAAACGGGGACAGCTTCGACGTCCCCGGACTCAACCCCGGACGCAAGCCAAGTCCCCTCCCTCAGCTCCTCGCCGACTTCCTCGACGACAGACGAGACCGCGACCCCGCCGAATAGCCCACCGCCGCCGACGTACCGAGATGCCACCACCGCCGCCGCAACAACTAGCATACCAGATCTCCTCTCCAAATCCACAAGCATCAGCACCAACAAGAACAACACAAACAACAAAACAACCTCCCTGGCACGCACCCACCCAGACACCCTCCGCTGCTCAACCTGCTCCTGCGACATCGCCTTCGCCTCCCAAATCGTAAGCAAAGGCTTCACAGGCCGCTACGGCCGCGCCTACCTCATCGCGCCGACCGCCATCCCAAACACCACCACCGATACCACGTCCTCCTCCCCCTCCACTACCCAGAGTGCACGCGGCGGCGCAAACGGCAGCAAGAACAAGGGAAGCCTCGCCAACGTCCGCATAGGAAAATGCGAGAACCGCCAGCTCGTGACGGGCTGGCACGTCGTCGCGGACATCACCTGCGTCCTCTGCAGCGCGAAGCTGGGGTGGAAGTACGTCGACGCCAAGGAGCTCAGCCAAAAGTACAAGGTGGGCAAGTTCATCCTCGAGGTCGAGCGCGTGGTGCCGTTCCGTAGCTGGGAGGATGTTGTCGACGTCCGGGACGATGAGTGTTCTGACGACGAGGAAGACGATGCAGTAGAGGATGACGATTCCGTGGCCGGGGAGGCCGGCGGAGCAGGTGGTAGAGACGAGGATGTCGCGGACCGAAACGGCGACGATGGCGGCGGCGACGACAGTGCCGCCCAGAGCGCTCGCAAGGACGCGCCGGACAGTGATGTTGAAGTTGTGTTTGATTCCGAGGACGAGGACGACCTCGAGGATATGTTCTCTGGAAACTGGGACCCAGAGGTTGTGGCAAAGAGACGGAGCCGTCGAGTGGCGACGGCGCGGAAGAAGTAGTAGAGCTTTTGTCGAAAGCTCCCCGATACCCCCCCCCCCCCCCTTTCCCCTACCACTTACACGCACGAGATATCCCAAGCCATGCAGGCTTTGTCCTCTCATCGGCCTTTTGCTTGGATACCTGGAACACGAAGTATATACCATGATGAACGAACGATCATGACTGTCCATTTACGCACTAATACCCCACATTTAGAAACGACGAAATTGAGCACGGTTTAATATGAATTTGTTTGGGTATTTAATTACGTGACTTGTGATTTGAACCTTGCAGTGAAAATCAGGAGCTTCTTGTCCGTTGATCCCCATCTGGCCAACGGCCCATTGCAGCCCTCTCGGCATGCATGATATGCTGTCAGCAGTCGGCCTGTAAGACGAACTCAACTCGCCATGGCAACGTGGTAAGGTGACTGCCCCGTTGCATGTCATGGCAGATATCGCGGTTCCCAGTTGCCCTCTGGCGTAGTGATCTCACTTAATCCACGGTCGATTTATGCGATGGGCTCCTCGGCGACGTAGTGCAGGTAAGCGCCAAGGAGCTTAATGCCCTCGATGTAGTTGCGCTTGTCCAGCTTCTCGTTGATGGAGTGAGCACCGTCAGTGGAGCTACCCATGGGCAGAAGAAGAACGTTCTTGCCGGTGGCCTGCTCAAAGGTCAAGGTGACGGGGATACTACGTCTATTGTTAATGGACGTCCTTCGGTATCTGGAAATGGGATTCATACCTTCCACCCTCACGGGTGAAGTCAGGCTGCACGCCCCAGACGCGCTCGGTAGCCTTGGCGGCAGCCGAGAAGTTCCAGTGCTTCGGCGACGCAACCCACCACTTGCCGGTGTGCTGAGCCCAAACCTTCATGGTGTTCTTGCTCTTGAGCTTTGCGAATTGCTCGTTGACGTACTTGTAAACGGCCTCGTTGGTCGCCTCCTCCTCCATGTTGGGCACGGTACGGATGGAGAACTTGCCAGTGACCTTGGCCGGGATAACAGTCTTCGCGCCAGGGGCAGAGAAGGCACCCTCAACACCGTGGACAGAGAGGGAGGGGTAGCGCCATCTTCCCATGAGGGTGGACTTCTTGTCTTCGTAGATAGTAGTCTTGCTGCCGAGAGACTCGTGGAGAGTCTCCATAGTGAAGGCAATGCCATCATACAGAGTCTCCTCATCCTTGGTAACGGGGGCGACCTGCTCCATAATGCCAGGAATCTGAATCTTGCCGTCAGTGTCGACCAATGAGCCGAGAACGCGGACCAGGTCAGTCATGGGTTCCTGAGCAGTGCCGCCAAAGACACCGCTGTGCAAATCAGCGCCAGGGCCCTTGATCTCGACAGAGTAGTAGTTGCAGCCACGGAGACCATAGGTCAAGCAGGGCTTCTCAGTTCCGAGCCAGTAGTTGTCAGAAATGCAGACAGCATCGGCGTCAGCGAAGAACTTCTTGGCCTCGGCATTGATGAGATCGTCGAGACCCTCGGAACCGTACTCCTCCATACCCTCGAAGCACATGAGGAGGTTGACGGGGAAGTCGATGCCGGCCTTCTGGTGAGCCTCGATGGCGTTCAACCAGCCGAGAACGGGTCCCTTGTCGTCCGTGGCACCACGGCCGAACATTCTGCCCTTGTCATCGACGGAGAGCTCAAAAGGCTCGGTCGCCCAGCCATCAGTCTTCTCGGCGGGCTGAACATCGTAGTGGCCGTAGACCAGGATAGTTCTCTTGTTCTTGTCGCTTCCATATCTTCCCAGCACGACCGGGGGCAGCTGCAAGCCAGGCTTGTCAGGCTGTTCACCTAGCTCGCGAAGCTCGACTGAGGCACCGAGGGCCTTCAGCTCGGCAGCGAGCCACTCGCCCATCTTGACGACATCGGGACGACGCTCAACATCAGCTGAGATGGAGGGGATCGCAACAGCCTTCCGGAGGCGATCGATGAAGTGGTCGGTGTCGGCATCGACCTGCTTGAAGTAGCCGTCGAGTTGAGGAGCCATCTTGGTCTTTCGAGCTTGGTGTGCTTTTATAGCTGGAGTAAGGTAGTGACGGCGAGATTGTGAGATGGTCTGCCAACACGGTAGAGATTTGGGAGTTGTAGGAACAAACTTTCGAGCAGTCTGAGGGAGGGCAAGGCCTCTAAACAACGAGGTGCGGGGCATGACGCCGGACTGGACCTTCTACATCGGGCGCAAAAGAGCTGACCAGAATTCTGCTGCACCGAGAGTACCTCTACATGCACCTGCCCACAACTGCTCCGGATGGCGGGGTTCTCTCAATGCGCTTCGGCAAGCAGCGGCGTATCAGCAGGAAGGGACCTGGCCATTGCTAATGTATCCGTTCCAGGTGGAGGCGCTAAGACCGAGACCAAAGAACTTTTGCGTGATACAGCACGTGACGTTGTCGGCAACTTCGCGGCCGAGATAGTGGGGTCCCGGTCGGGACCTGGGCGGAGGAGGCAATGGAAGTTTCTTGGGATTACTCAGCTGTGACGGCACCTTCCGGAGAAGAATGGGGACCCTTTCAGAACTCAGGCTGATAAGGTAAGAAAGGCCTAGCACAGAGAAGGGACATAGGCTCCCGGAACAACATCCACCCGGGAAATCCAACGCTCACGTGCCATCTGGCCCAGGCTTGCCTAGAATTGGCAGTGCTGCAGAATCAGGCCGGTCGGTCGCAGTGGCCAGAGAGTGGGTTCCAGCTACCTTTCTCCGTCTGCCTGCAGTCACTGCCGGCTATATCTCTTCTCCTCCCCCTTTGCGTTACTCCTCTTTTTCCTGCCACGAACATCACCATCAACGCCCTCTTACGACCTGCGACCGCGCGTTTCGTTCTGCCGAAACCTACGTACGGGTGCTCCATACGACTGTGCAACGGATTCCATCACCCTGCGATAATCGCCCAAACGACTTTTCGGCCCCAGGTGACCAGCGAAGCAAGTGCCCGCTCAGCAACCGACTCTTTCCCTGTACGATTGTTTGCGTCTCGCCACGAGCCCGTTGCGACCGCTCCACTTCGACCGGAATACTGAATTGGAAACCAACGGTGGCTAACTGAGGTTTTCTCGACTGATGGTGCGAAAGGTGTCGAGGTGATTTGGATTTGAGGAGGGATTCACACAAAGGACTGACTTTTCTCCAACTGGTGTCGGCCTCTTTGGCATTGTACTCTTTCTCTACACTCCGCAACCCTTATTTCCTTGTTTTCCAAGTAAATCAGAATTGATTTTCATTACTCTTGAGAGGTGCTAAGCGCAAGAGACATCACACACAAGCAAGAAGAAAAATTACAAGCATCAAGTCTCTCTACTCACGTTGAGGTAGCGTTGCATCTTCGTGGTATCCCGCGAAGTCCTCATCGCCACTCAAATCAAATATTTGATTACGCACTTTACTGCTGCCAACGTCTATAGCGGTCTACATCTGTGACCTATCCAAACGAGACATCATGGCGTCCTCCGTGTTCTTCAAGTTCAAGTCTCAAAAGGAGCCGACGCGAGTTGAGTTCGATGGCACCGGTATTTCCGTCTTCGAGCTGAAGCGCGACATCATTT